TACCCATAATGCACTACTAGTATATTTAACAAGCCACCGAAATCATTTACTCAGACAGAGGGAAACGTCATCAATTGGCCACGAAAATCAAATGAGACCTGGCATTGTTGGTAGTAGTTGGCCTGACTAGCCAACGTAAAATAGACATGTTGGTGGAAATCATCCAATTATCGCCCAATAACACTAGACGAAACGTTTTATACAAAACGAAATGCATCATAGCCCCGGGTAAAAACAAATTCCCGGGGATTTAATTGGCAATTTCGCGACGATAATTTTTCGCGATTTTAACACCCTTGCGAAAAGCGCGAAACTAAATCGCACGCGAATAATACCGGGCGTACAGTATTATTATATGTTCAGCAAAAAGGAAGACTATATATTTACTTTTCTGATTAGGCACCTTTTATGTGCTTCAAGAATCAATCTATATATTTTATCAACTTATTCTAATGAAGTCTTAATTATTGGAATGGAATGATTTATTGGTCTTATAAGGTTGTGCCCTTTTGAACATCTTGCAACATACCTGATACCTCTTGCAAAATGTGGTAAATACCCTATCAATGCATATAGTAAAATACCTTCAACATTGACCTTCCATGATCCTAAGAATTTTTCAGATTGCTTAGAATTGTTCATCATTTGCATTAAAATCTGCAAAAAATAATTTCTAACATGTTTTGTATTTCAGTTTCCCTAGCCTTATGAAAAACCTTGACCCTAAACCTTACAAAAATGACCTTCAACTTTCAATGTAATATGATCAGGAACCTTTAAAAACCAATGGCTTATTAGTGTTTAAAGAAACGAAAGAACATGTACTTCATGAAATTCTTAACTTATTTGTAAGGCTGATGCACCAAAAGTAGTGATTAGTATGATAATTTATGGCTAAATGATAAAACTCTCAAGGGGCTAACTGCTACATATATTCTCAAACATAAATTCCACTAACTGTTCTAGAGGCAGTAATAAAGTAAGTCTATCACACCTAAAAATAAGCAATCAAAAGCCACAGTGCAATATTATATGGAAAATTATGTTCATATTTTAGACGCAAAAATATCTTCTTGGATTAGTTGTGGTTTTGCTAACAAATGTGCGGTTTCTTGTATTTTGATGCTTCTATTACATGTTATTTTTGATAATACCGCCATTGCTGAGGCTCTATGAATTACAAAAGACCTGGGGGGGGGTTGATGCTTATAAGATTATGCTTATCTGAAATATACAAAAAATATTTATCTAAAATATAAATAAAAAATTTCGTACAATATGTTATTGTTCTATGGTTCTTTGCTTATTTTTTTTCAATTTGATAGATTTACATTTTCACTACCTCAAAGACAAAAACATTGATTTATCTTTGGTTAAAGTAACTTTCTATGATTTCATCCAAAAATTAAAACCCTTGGAAATACTAAATATGGTTTAAGTGCCATATATAAAAATTTATTTTAGAAATATTGTGGATCAAAATGAAAAAAAAAATAAATAAAGAATAAAAACATATTCCACCGGAGGGATTTGAACCCAGATCTTTTGGAATAAAACTCTGTTTGAGCCCAAAGCTCTAACCACTACACCAAACTGCCAAAGCTTCCCGATGGAAGAAATTCTTTATCTATATAATCATGAACGAAAAAAGTCTTATTTACATGCTTAAATTTCTTAAAAATGATCAGCATTACTACTAATAATAACATTTTGCATGTCTGAGTAAGTATTTTGATCTACATTTAGGATAAATGTTGTTTTATTCAGTTTTCATTTTGCGTATGACTTCCTGTCAAAACAGTGTTAAAAATGCAGGGCTCAACAAAAATTTTCAATTAGAAAATGATATATATCCTTTGGTCAGCTGTTTTTGGCACCTGAACTTATCCTACTAGAAAGGTAAGAGCATTTTCTTGAGACATATGGCTCGAAATCTCACATTTCTCCTTCTAAGTCTTAGAAAGACACTTTAACATTGGTTCAGTTTTTGCTAGAGAATGTCTAAATTTTCTCCATGGTTTTATCATTTTGCAACCTGAACTCAGTTACTAATGTTTTTGTGTGAAATAACATTTGTTTTTTGAGTCAAAAAGATAAGGTCAGAATCAGATAGCAGATAGTGGTCAAGCATTAACAGAGTGATACATTCCCATTAAATATGAAAATTGCCTACTATTTGAACTATTGTCTAGTTTAACAAAAAATTGACTGATCGAGGACAAAGGGTGTCACTATATTCCTATTTAACCTTGTTGTGGTAAATCAACAGTAAGTGAACATCCATTTAATGCCATGTTAATAAAGTGCTAATAGCTGTTAACTCTCATCTGATTAGCCCTTTTTATTCATAATGATGCAACTTACACAATCAACAGACGAGAACATGAACCTTGAAAATAACTGTTCATGGAGAAGCAATTAATTGCCCTTTAAAAATTGAAAAAAGGTATGAGTAGTTTTTCAATTTTAAATCTTCCTGTAATGATTACTAGGTGATCAAGAAGGGTAGTGTCCAAGCCTAATTAATTGTCAAAGTTACATATCATTGTCAATCAAACAAAAAAATGAGTTTTCTTCGAATGAGAATCTCAATTGTCAGCCCTTTAGTTTATATGTGACCAAATATATATTTAAAAAACAGAACTCTAATATAACTATACATAATGCATTGCCAGAAACGTAATTGCAGAAATCTATTTGTGTGGCATGATATGAGGTATAGTAAATAGTTAACAATAATCATAAACAAGCCATTGGCATGCAAAATGTTACCACCTGTCATTTGTTACAGATGCTGAACGCTAACCACCAAACTATGATTGCCAAACACCGACCTCTGTCCACAAAAAGACCATAACAAGATGTCACAACATTTGGTGGTGATATGAAAATCAAATTGTTAGTGTTGTCTGACAAATAACAATACAGTTTTTATTATTGTTTAGTATAGTTTGCAATGTTAGATTTTGGGCTTCTCATATATGGCAACTTGTTTATAAAATCAGTTGTTCTGTCAAAATAAACAATTCTACTCTTAGTGGATACATATAGAAGTAAAACGTAAATAAATGTCTGCATTTTTCTAACTAGGATTTCTCAGTTATACTCTTATATTAGGAGAATGTGTCTAGGGTTTTAAACATTTTCTGTTTTTTCTATCAATCATACAGAATATCAGATAACATTACCATCATAAATGAATTAACAAGAGAGCCAGGTGAAATAGCAGCCACTGACTAACAAGTTTATTCAAATAGAAATTACAAAATATACAAAAAATATATGGAAAGTATTTCTGTGTTCTATTTATTTTGAAGGTCAACTTTTATGGTTATTTTGACAAATATAGGGCAGTGGGAGTACAGTATTAACTCAAATGATCAAAGTACAATTTTTACTTAGGTATTTTTATTGTTACAGTGATCTCCCCAGGATTTTTTCAAGTGGGTGAAACTGGTCAAAATATGCCCATTTTTCATGATTTTTCTTATTTTCAAGAGGGTGCAAATGGATTTTCAGGTGGGTGCAAGCCTGTTTTTAAAATATCAGGTGGGTGCAATGCCCATTTGCTTTAATGCTGAGGAGATCACTGTATTATGCAGTATGTTTTTGGTAAAGTAGATAATTAAGTAGGCAAAATGTATCAAGGTTACACTGTCAAGATTCTATAGAGCATGGTTTATATTAGAGAGATGTGTTACCCCATGGGTCATATACTACCCTGTAGATTCTGTGCTACCCTATCAAGCCTATATTATCCTTCAAAACCTAAATGTTATCCTGCAGTACTTATATATCCTGATAGAACCTGTGACACCCTACTTAACATACGTTACCCTATGGAAGGTATCTTGCTTGAATCAGTGTTACTCTAAAGAGCTTGTGTTATCATGTGTTACCCTATAGAACACAGTCGAAATAGATAGCAATTGCACAGCATAAATTGAGGAAGATCATTATAATGCTGAAATTCAACATTGATTCCTATAGAATTTTTTAGAGATATCTTCATGCAACAAACTTACTCCTCTACTTCATTTGACAGGCCTAGAATCAAGTGCAATTGCAATTTTTAAACAAACACAAATTTACAGTAGCACTAGTGGTCAAGGAGAAGTAATTGAGTTGAGTTGATTAAATGGTCAGCATGCTCAGTATACTAAGAGTATTACTCCATTGCCTACTTTAGAATACCCTAGATATATTTTACAAATCATTGTTCATTTATACAGAGTGTCAAAATGCATTCCATACATATTTACATTTGTTTAAAATATTAATCAACCTTCAAATGGTGTTTAACTGTGACTCATGACTTTATCTAAACTTGGAAATTTAGAAGGCTCAAGTAATACTAACATAATTCAGACAGGAAACATTTTATTTAAGTCTGATTGCCTTATTCAATTTACCATCTTCTTAATGTTCATTCATGCACTTAACAAACTTCAACCAGGTTCCTCCCAAATTTTCTTTTTTCTTTTGAATATTTTGACAATTTCAAAGTTATTTTGTAATTTGATATCTTTAAACAAGACAGTTATTTAATTATTTTTTCACTTTATCCCAATACAGTAGATACATATTCACCATGCATTGAATACATTAAAGATACAGGAAAGTCAAATAATAGGCAGTCAAATACTCAGAATCAAATAAGTAGATTAAATAAGTAAAATATTAAAATGGATAAATGTATTTAAATAAGGTGACTGACCAGAGTGCACAAATACACAATTATCAATTTTCTCTATGTTTTCAGATAAATGTTGGCAGAACTTTATCGTGGCTTTTAAACACATGGCAAATAAACATATCATATGAACTTGTAAACATAAAAATATGCCTCGTTTACAATCAGCATATTTCTGAATATTTGGAACAGAAAGGAAAATAGTCAAGATGAATATTTGGTACGAAAATATCCTATTTCAGCCTAATAGTACAGGTACAACGCAGACTTTAACAATTGCTTCATGCTTAAATAAAATTACATATACCTGTTGAGTTGACGACCCTTCATCGACAAGCATGTCTTCTGTACTTGCATTCTGAAATCAAATGATAAAAGATTGAAATTTAACATGGCAATTTGTGTTTATACATTTTATAACAGGGATAAGTTAAAATAAACATGAATACATGTACTGATTTAATCATAACTATTGAAGCCTGGAGATGTGAACTTATTCTTCAAGACTCCTTATAAAATTTATTTTCAATGGAGTGATCTCCCCAGGATTTTTTCTCAGGTAGGTGCAAAATTCTCATTTTCACAATTCAGACCAAAACTGGTCAAAATATGCCAATTTTTCATGATTTTTCTGATTATCTAGTGGGTGCAAATGGATTTTCAGGTGGGTGCTAGCCTATTTTCAAAATCTCAGGTAGGTGCTGCGCCCACTTGCTTTAATGCTGGGGAGATCACTGCACTGATAAAATAATTTATATCAACATCAGAGTTCTGAATTAACATTCGCCATTCACTGATAAAAAAATACATTGGCTTAAATATCTAAACTATTAAAGATGTAAATAATAGTCTTTCAAAGGTTTTCAGATATTTATAAAAAGGATATACAGAGTTCTAGAGCAATAAATGTTGTGCACTTTGTTAAATATTTATTGGCACTCTGCCAAAAGGTGGCATGATATTTGATCGAAAAATCTTGGAAAGCTGATTGGCATATATCTGAAACCTGTCAATCAATGTAACAAATTACTTCATTGTATCAATTGAGGTGATCATAGACCTAGAAGCACAGTGTGTTAGATAAGGATTTTTTTCTGCTAGCCATTTTGGCCACTAGATTTCAGATACCACTGGCCAAACAGATTTGGCACAAGCCAGTATAAAACAAGATAACGGCAACTCCGCGGAGTAGCAAATCCCAACGAACAAAATATCAATTACCGAATTCCAATCAATTATACTCATTACTTTGGTTGAAAATGAAAAAATTAGATTTTAGAATTGCGAATTCCTGCAAAGCAGCTATTTTGAATTTTCTGAGGTACAAATCTGAAAAATAATACCATAATTGTGATCTACTCCAAAATTCCTTCAATTTGAGTATAATATAGCCATACTTTGAAGGGATCAACAAATTATTGCGAAATCGTACATTAGACGGCCATTTTGAATTTTACAAGGCTCAAATCAGAAAAAGATACAATATTTGCAATCTACTCTTAATTGCCTTTCATTTGAGTATAATAAAGCTATACTTCAGAAAGATCTAAAAATTAGCGAAAATTTCTGTTTTCCTGTCCCCCTATACATGGCCCCTGGGGGTCAGGATGAAAAACACGGAATATATGTGAAATAGATAAATGTTGTGAATACACTACCAAAATTTCAAACAATAATATTAATTACTTTGGTTTAGAATGAAAAATTTATGATTTTTGCGAAAAAGTCCCTTCATTTTTAAAGTGGCGGCCATATTGAAAAATTTTTTTTTTGCGTAAAACTATTCACCAATAAACAACTTTCCACTAAATATGAAGAAAATCTGTCAACTAGTTTTTGAGTTATCTTCCGGACAGACGGATTGACTGACGGACAGACGGCCAGACGGACGGACGGACGGAGGGCTTCACTATATCCCTAACGAACTTCGTTCGTTGGGATAATTACGCTAACATCGCAAATCTTACGAAAATATTCATTTACAGTGTATTATATCTAAAAAGTAAAGAATCAGCAATTTGTCAAACTTGTGCATCCAACTAGACTTATATCAAAGTATCATTTAATGGCCTAATAATAAGTACAGTAACACTATGATATGATGATGATTAAAAATGTATCATGGCTCGAGGAGGGGGGGGGGTGGTAGCATTCCCCCTCCAGAAAATTATTGATATTTAGAACCTCTCTTGTGCAAACTGAGCATGATATTCCTCATAAAAGTCAAGATTTAGGCCCTACATATAGATCTACATTCTACACGGAAAAATTAATGAAGAACAAAAATACACGTGGCTTAGTAACAGTAATCACCGTTTTTAGTGCCGACCCCCTAATAACCATTCACCCAGTTTCAGAAAGTTCAAGAAATATCAAGGAATAACCAAGTATTATTACCGAATACACAGAAAAAATAATTTCCGAAAGAAGTCAGTGGGCGATAATAGAGTACTTCATCATTACTAACACTAAAATGCGGAAAAAGTGGCGCATTTTGTAATTCAGTGCATCATCACGATAAATATCTATCATTTGTTGCTTTCCACATTATACTAAACCAATATTTTGATGAATGAAGAAGGAAATGTCCGAGTTTAAAAAGATTTTTTCATTTGTTGTTTTTCGGCGATAGCTTCTGCGCAGTTTTTATGCGCATCTGATCTCTTCGACCAATCAGAACTCTCGAATAAAGAAACCCAGAACATGGCCAATCAGAGTCCACGATAAAAAACGTTTCGGGATCGATCAAGAAGGAACATCCGGATGTTCTGGATTTTCGATCTCGGTGAGTTCCTTGGCATAAATATGCCATTATCTTCGGGTTTTCAAGTCTGATTTGATCCCAGATCGCCAATATGGCAAGTGCTCCATCAAAACTGTTCGCCAGATGTATTTTCTGATGGCATTTGGCGAATGGCGACCGCTTATCCGACACACTGGAAGCATAGCAATTTGGTGTATTTGGCATGATTTTAAAATCAGAAATCAGATAAGTTAAAGAAACTGAAGATGACAATATTATTTGTAGATAGGGTTAAATGTGTTGCATATAGAGGGACAACAAATAGTGGCGAAGACTTTTTTGTAGTATTTTAAAAAGATTTTACGATATATTGCTGAGGCCATATCTTTCTCATTTTGACGTAATAAAAGCTGCTAGAGCAGGGCACTCTAATCATCTTGGGTATCATGAAAATATAGGTAAATTTCACGCAAAATACTTGAGAGTGTAACTTTTGATGATTTTTCCAATGCAAACCAACAACAACAATGGTATATCATGTGGAGTACCATCCTTTATAAGATTTAGCTGTAGCAGAGGGATGGGACTTATTTGACACCCTGTATGTGGGATTTAGGGCACTTGCTTACGACATTGGTTGATAGAATTAATATAAATATAAATATGCCATTCATAGGACATAATACTAAATATGTAAACATACGAGCAAAATATTTAGATACAAAGATGGGAAGTAAATGAACATAAATGTCTTCTCTTAATGAAAATGTGAAGAGACAGAAAACTAACTGACAGGTGTCCTTGATGTTAAAATCATAACAAATCTGAATCAACCAAAGCATATACATTCAAGGTTGACAACAACAATAACATGTAATGACAGACCAGCTACCCAACAGAATCATAATTAGACAGGAGGGCCGTCACTCAACTTACAAGAGGGCCGTCAATCAACTTACAACGAATCATAACACTGGGTTCATTTTTTGTAAGTTCAAAAGTTTTGCAAAAAATATTGAGTGGTTTGGGCGGAGTGGTAGAATTACTCACCTCGAGGTTTTGGCCGTCTTCCATGCGCGACCACGGAATCAGTTGTGGCGGCAATGGCATGGTCGGAGTAAGGAGAGGAATTTTGAAAGCTTACTTAAAAGCAATCTCCACAAAACACGAGAAAAAGAATGAAATTTCAACTTTCAAAAACTAAATCCAATATGGCGATTTCATCTCCAAAACGAGGCCATGACCTGCCACCTATTGGAAAATAGGTTCTTCAAAGATGAAGCCAAAAAGTGGGAAGGCTGAGGGAAATGTTCCAAATCGCCCAAAATACAACAAAAAAGAACAGAAATCAGCCACAAAACGAAAGTTCGGTAATGTCCAAAAGCGATGGAAGGAAGAAGATAAAGAAATAAAAGACATTTCGACTAAATACAAGAGTGTAAGTTGCTGAATTTTCACGTGGTGGGCGATAATAGAGCAAATGTTTTTTCAAAACATTCCAAACTACAACAGATCATGGGCATTCAACTAGTTGAATGCCCATGAACAGATATAGATCGTCATAATTAATCAGATCAGGATAATCGTTTTAGTTCAATGATCAAACCACCTTAGCTATCAGTCATCTTTGAGTTATAAGTCATTTAGACATACCTTATAGGCCACCTTACACAGACCTGGGAAGTCTGTGGGGAAGACCTACAGTAGTATGTATCCAATAAGAAGTCAGTCTGTTATGATGCTGCCCTGTCAACCCTCACGCATTAGGCGTGATTGTCACGCATTTGCTGGAAAAATAGAAATCACGCATCAATTTAGCGTGTATGATCAAATATCACGCAAATCACGCATTTTGTTGATATTTTTAAAAATTGTTTTTTGTGAAATGTTTACACGGTAAAATACCGAACAGCGAAAAAAAGCGAACACATTGCGTTCGGTCTTTGCACACGATTGCCGTTTATGTCACACATTTGGTACAAAATATGTGTATATATCACGCACTTAATTTGAAAATAGGAAGACCTACTATTAGAATGCGTATCGTATTTGTCGCGCAATCTGATTGGTCAAATCGCAAAACAAGGCACTCCAGATCAAAAAAATCAAATGCTTTTTCATTTCATGTTTGGTGTAAACGCTAAATAACAATGTCTCATTAAGGTGCTATGGAACTTAACAGGAAATGACAAAACAGGAAGTGACAATTTTTTGGGCATTTTTAGACATTTTTTGAATAAAAATCAGGATGAAAAATTCAAAAGATTCTGTTCAGTGACCTTGCCTAGCTCCTACTTTTAGCTTTTTTTCACTCACATTACAAAGGGCTAAAAAGGTTATTTCATCATGTTTAGGGTCATTCTGACCATGCACATTGTGATCCCGGTCTTGTAAATGATACCGTATTCTCTGTAATTAGCGCCCAGGGCGGTTAGAAAATTGAAAATACATCATTCAGACCATTCTAATAAGCGCCCATGTATGAAAGAAATCAGAAATCCCGAGAAATTTCATGTATGGCAATTTTTCTTGCCAAGAATGCCTTATTTTCAACTTATTTTTATAATAATAATAAGTATTGTTATTGGAGAGAATACGGGAAAGATCGCTTAGACAATATTGACAGTGATTGAAGACCAATTTATTTCCGGCACGCCCACTTTGTCATTATCGCCGATTACCTTTAATATTTCCACTAGAGACTGTTGGATATCGATCTAAAGTTAAACCTTATTTTAAATTTTGATGAGAGATCATCATTTTTCATGTTAAAGTTGTGTAAAAGTCGAGAAACGTCAAAAAGAAACCAGAAAGTTCACAACCTTGACATGCGCAGAATATCTGCGCAGTAGCTTTCAGATATTACTGAATGCCGATAAAGAACAATTCCTTCATTCATTATAGACTATTCTGAGACAAAATTAGCATATTATGGTGTGGGAAACACCCATCGATAGATATTTATCGAGAGGATGCATAGAATTATAAAACGCTTCGTGTTTACAGCAGTTTAGGGTAAGTACTCTATTATTGCCCGCTCATGGATTTTCGGATATATGATTTTTTTCTGATAGATTCTTCAATTCTTGTTGATTCCTCAATGTTTCTTGAACTTTGTGAAGCGGGGTGGGCGCTTATTAGAGGGTGGGCGGTAATTACAGAGAATACGGTAATTGGAAATAGTTAAATTAACTGGAGGTCAAACCAGAACTCTGTTATCTTTGTCTCAAAAAATGTCTAAAAATGCAAAAAAAAATTTCTTTTCCTGTTTAAGATGAAGGTAAAGTTCTCAAGATAGACATAACATGAAGGACATGTTTTTTCTAGTATATTTATGTCTTTTCACTTTGGGTTTCTCTCAACCTCAAACTTTTAAACTTAAACATTAATGATTGCATTGTATGTGTTTCAGTTGAAAAGAGGCTCATGCGAGAAGTTTGCAGATTTCCCTCTCTCCAGCAAGACTCAACAAGGTAGGCAATACATTCGGCTATTAAGCCTGGTAATATGTGAAATATCTAGCTATAGGTCTTCATTGGTGTTGATGTTTCATTGAGGCTTTCTTAAACACTATTTATAGATTTGTTATTGTAGTCAGTTGACCCTCATCTTAAGGAGAAGTCACAGTCACATGACCCCCATCTTAAGGGGTGTTATCCAAATATCAACAGTAAAAGGAATTGAATTGTTAATAAGGGGTTTTCCCCTTCTATTCCCTCTAGAATTAAATTTCAAAATGTTGATTTTCTATATTTACCTGAAACCCTTCTAGAGAAGAAATAATTTTTTGAATTCAAGAAAGCTAATGTGAAAGAATCATTTGTTTTTTACTGAGTTCTTACTTTTTTGAAAACAACTATTTTGAGGACATTATTGATAACAAATCTACCATGAAACTCTCAGATTCTTTTGAGGTTGGTGGTTAAGATTAAGATTACTGCTTAACAAATCACACTAAATGCCATTTCAGGTCTAGAACTTTCCAAGTTTGTAATCCCAACTGAGATTCAGCGAGAGACAATAGGGCTCGGCATAAAAGGCCATGACATCCTAGGCGCTGCTAAGACAGGCTCGGGCAAGACTCTTGCCTTCGTCATTCCAGTAAGGCAACATTTTTGGGTTCAGACCATTACAAAATAATTGTTGGATTAGCAGTTTGTTGGGGTCATCCAGATCAAACATTGAACCTTTGATAGGGTTTTATAATGTCACCACCCCAATTTTTTTTTGGGGGGGGGTGCCGTTTGGTGTTTTGCGTAACAAATGGCAGGTGGTGACATTTTGCATATAAATTTTTCCAATGTTTTCATTTTAGCATTCATAACACTTGAGAAAAGTCAGGTTGCTTTGTCATTTTACCAGCTAAAATTCTGTTAAATAAATAGTTAACCTGCAGGAGCTAAATAGTTATTGAATTTCTTGTATGCTTTGTACACCTTCCCCTCTTGTCTGTACAATTATCCTACAACGATTGAGCAATTATTTCCATGCTACTGTTCAAATGATTAAGTGTAGTACAAGTACCATTAATATGTGAGCTAGAAATCACCAAATGTTGATATTCCGTTACATCATTGACAGGTCCTTGAGTGTCTATGGCGACAGAAATGGAGCTCAAACGATGGCTTGGGAGCATTAATTATTTCCCCAACCAGGGAGCTGGCGTACCAAACATTTGAAGTTCTGAGAAAAGTTGGCAAAAAACATGACTTTTCAGCGGGTCTAGTCATTGGAGGAAAGGTATTTTAAGAATCGGCTCATTGTTATAAGAAATGTGCTTCCAGTGTTTCAATGGTTTTATTTTATTCCAATTTCTCACTCACAATCACTGAGATGCCTGATGTTGAAGGTGGCCAGAATAAGACAGTAAGCTGACTTGATGATGGCAAGTTTATGTAAAAAAACATCAAATTACAAGTCATTTTCAATATTATGCTCTGGCTGCCTTGATTTTGAACTTTTCCCTTCAAACTCAGACTTGTTTCCATATGAAATGAATATTCAAGCGATGATTCAAACTTGATAGTTCACCTTCCACATTCATCTTGGCCCATCTTAATTGCCAACCCTTCTCTTCTAGTTCATAAAGGAGGAGTCGGAGAGGATAAATCGCACAAACATTGTGATTTGTACTCCTGGTCGACTGCTACAACATATGGACGAGACAGCATACTTCACTGCACATAACCTGCAAATTCTAGGTAAGTTTTTAGGAATGCATGTTCAGAATCATCTTTCAAAATGCAAATTACGAAAAGAAGAGGTGAATTTTAAAGGATTTCAATGTACAAAACTCTTCAAATTATTAGTTCTTAAAAAAAGATGTTATTTTTAAAAGACTTAAATGTATACAACAGCTCTTAAAATTATTAGATTATTATTTAATTTAAAAGATGTGAATTTTAAAGGACTTGTAAAGAACTTATTTAACACCATTGACGTCTGTGTTTCCAGTGCTTGATGAGGCCGACAGGATTCTAGATATGGGGTTTGCTCAGACTATGAATGCTGTCATAGAAAATCTGCCCACTAAGCGTCAAACTTTGTTGTTTTCTGCAACACAGACTAAATCTGTGAAAGACCTGGCCAGGTTTGTTTGTTATGTTTGATTTTTTTATTGTCAGTTGTTCATTAGAGCTAAATGACTTAATGCTTCAATAAAATACACAATGAGTTGGTCATAGTTGGTCATATTTCTAACAAGTTTCTTTGAATTCTTAAATGCCAGGTCAAGTCTGAAGTACCATGTGAAAACATGATTTGTTTACCCAAATGGCGGTTTGGGGTAAGGTGCCCTACCATTTGAAAACAAAGCAAGGGAGACTTTTGGAATTTTGATTTGCCAATATTTTTGCAAACCTGTTTTATTATGCATGTCTTAAAGCATGTTACTTAAAGTTCTTACCTTGCAGGTTAAGTCTGAAGGACCCTATGTATGTGTCAGTACACGAGCACTCAGAACATAGCACCCCTAAAGACCTGGAACAAAGCTATGTAGTCACTGAAGTGGACAAAAAGATTGATCTTCTCTGGTCTTTTGTGAAGCATCATTTAAAGAAAAAGATCCTGGTGTTCTTGGCCAGCTGCAAACAGGTGGGTTGCTAGGTTACAACTAATCAAAAACTATATATATATATATCATTTGATTAATTAGCTGGCTGATTCTCAAAAGAATAATGTTGACGACATCCATTGTACATCGAGTCTGGTAAATGTCTTTATAGGATCAATCCAAGATATAACCTAGCCAATCAACTTATCTATGCAGGGTTGCATATGGTTGACGTTCACCAACCTGAAAAATGTTTAGCATACAGAAAATTAAATAAAATTGAATTTAGGTCAAGACAAAAATCAACTAGTGATTCACTATCAACATTCTACAAATATGATATAATTTAACATATAGGTGCGTTATATGGCAGAGTGTTTCAAGAAGCTGAGACCAGGGATCTCAGTGGGGTGTCTGCATGGAGGAATGAAGCAGCTGAAGAGAGTGGATGCTTATGATGAGTTCTGTAGAAAGCAAAGTGCCTTACTCTTTGCCACTGACATTGCAGCTAGGGGCTTGGGTAGGTTTGCTTGACAAGTGCTAAATTTGCATAATGTCATGTGCAGTTAAACTTACAAGCAAATGGTTTTACAAAGTAAACCAGGTATATTGCAAGATTCAAAAGAACATGATTTTCTGTTAAATGCATGCAAATGCTATGTTAAAGGTCGTGTAAGATATGCAAATGTTATGTAAAAAGGCCATGGAAGATATGCAATGTACCTTCCCTCCAGCAGCTCTGCCCTCATTGGAATCTATTATAACCAAGGTCACTTTTTTATTGCACTTTCAAAAAGTGCTATATTGTTGCCATCTTGTGCGGACAAGTGCCACATGAATCAGTTCTTGTTCATGCTGGGGGGGGGGGGGGGGGGGGGGGGTTGTGTTGCTCATCTAAATCCCCCAGATGAAAAAGTACAAAAACATTGCTTTAAGGAATGAAGGTCTGAACATAAAGGTGTATCCATCTGCTTCTATTCTTGATTACAGATTTCCCTGCTGTTCATTGGGTCATCCAGCTAGATTGCCCTGAGGATGCCAGCACATACATACATAGAGCTGGGAGAACAGCCAGGTAAATTACAATTACAATTACAATTAAAAGCAGGCACTATCATAGATCTTTTGATGTTGTGGCAGGAAATATATATAATACATGTTATATTAGAGTATTAACCTCTATGTCTGCTTACCTTATTATGTCGACACCAAAAGTGGTACATATTTTTATCGTCTTTAACTTTTTTGTGATGACAGTTGGCATCTGGCATTTGGCTTCTGTAACAAATAGGAGGTGGTGACATTTTGCTTGTTAATGCCTTGTTTTTCCATTGTTCCATTCTTCTCTTCAATTTAAGTTCACATTTGAAAACATGACCTTCGTTATATTCCTATTTATTCGTGTCTATCTTGTTCTCCAGGTATGAGAAAGGAGGTGAATCACTGTTAATTCTGTTGCCATCAGAAGAGGAGGGAATGGTGGCTCAACTAAAAGACCGAAAAATACCTATTCAGAAAATAGAGTAAGTATTGGACCTGATTATTTATTAAGTGAATGGTACTTCCCTCCCCCTTCATCCCCTGGTATCCCATCCCCTGGGGGGGTAATGCAGGGATATAAGGGGAGGCATCCAAAGTTCGATTTCGGATAGAAAACTAAATAAATCTAGTTAGAGGGGGAGGCAGTTCATACCCATTTCAGTTTGCTATCCGACAAATTTCAACATTTCAAATTTTTGGCAATTTTGACTTGGAATGGTTTAAAAATAAAAATTTTACCTGAGGCTTTCTTTGTCAAGATCATTCCAATGGATTCTGTTCTATCAATAGTTGCTAAAAGCCGCAAATTACGATAGGAATTAACAAGAACTAGATCGTGTTTTAGCAATAATTTTTCAATTTCTCAAACCGGAAGTCATTGATCAACTTTCATGGTATTTAGTTTTAGAGGGGAGGGGGGTAAGAGTCAAAACTAGATTTATTTAGTTTCCGATCCGACATCGAACTTTTGATGCCTCCCCTAAGGCTCATGAGGAAAATCAATCTCATTTTTAGGCATGCCAGGTAAAATGAGTAATCTGGTAGTGTTAGCTTAGGTATTACAGTAAAACCTGTAAAATTGAACACTTCTGTAAGTGGAACACCTCCATTAGTTGAACACTTTTCATAGTTCAGTTACCCAATAACTTAATGTAATATGAACCTGTAAACAGTACACCTTCAAAGTAAAACACTTTTTAAAGGTTCTTAAGGTGTTCCACAACACAGATTTGACTTAAATGTCATGGCCAGCACTAGATCTTGTTTATCGTAATACTCCTTGATTTCAGCGTTAACCCCAGTAAACAATGGAGCATCCAGCCCAAGATTCAGTCAATGTGTGCAGCAGAGGTTGAACATAAAGAGATGGCTCAGAGAGCTTTCGTGTCCTACCTTAGGTCCATCTTTCTCATGAAGAATAAGGAAGTGTTTGATGTTCATAAAGTGGACACTGAGGCATTCTCAAAGTAAGTTATTATACTGTACTGTACCGTGCTATACTGTACTGTACTGTGCATTTGAGACTGAAAAAATCTAGATGTTTTTAATTTCAATGAACATAGTTTTGGTATGTTTTTGAAGTTTTCACATATAGAGGTTATTTACTCAAAGTAAGTTATTATACTGTACTGTACCGTGCTATACTGTACTGTACTGTACTTTACTGTACTGTACATTTGAGACTGAAAAAATCTAGATGTTTTTAATTTCAATGAAAATAGTTTTGATATGTTTTTGAAGTTTTCACATATAGAGGTTATTTACTCAAAGTAAGTTATTGTACTGTACTGTGCTATACTGTACTGTACTGTACTGTACTTTACTGTACTGTACATTTGAGACTGAAAAAATCTAGATGTTTTTAATTTCAATGAAAATAGTTTTGATATGTTTTTGAAGTTTTCACATATAGAGGTTATTTACTCAAAGTAAGTTATTGTACTGTACTGTGCTATACTGTACTGTACTGTACTGTACTGTACTGTACTTTACTGTACTGTACTGTACATTTGAGACTGAAAAAATCTAGATGATTTTAATTTCAATGAAAATAGTTTTGATATGTTTTTGAAGTTTGCACATATAGAGGTTATTTACTAGGAGGTACTGAATGTTTATTGCCAATATGATATTTCCTAAGGGACTGAGGCAAATGTCATATTGACCAGAATATAAAACACATATTCATTTCCCTACCAAGAAATAAGTGTTTTACCATACATGATATTGTAAGATAGTTGTGTCACAATTAACTATAAAAGGATTATCAAATATCACTGAATGATCTATTGAACTACATGATATATGTAATTTTTTGGAAACTTTTATTGATAATTATGAAACATTAAAACTAACATTTGATAATTTTTCAAAAATATAAAAATATCAGAGAAGAAAATATAGAGACAGCCAGGTGAATGATTTCATTTCCAGGAGAACAAGGTGAAAACAATTTTTTGAGGGAATTCTTCACTACATGTATTAGTAACATTCCTTGGTGTTATTCGCCAGGAAGTAATGATATCATAGCTTAAACTTATTAGCCTGATGAATGAAACTTTAAAAATGTGTTTAAACCTATTTAAACACAATTTTGTTTTCATTCGTTCACTAAGATCATAATTACCTTTCTCTTAACAATGTTTCACTGTAACTGTGTTTCAGGTCCCTTGGTTTAGCCATAGCTCCTAAGATTAGATTTGTGGCAAAAGACAAACAAAGACTGGAGGCAAAACAGAATAACAATACACAGCCAGTCTTGTCAAAATTAAAAAATAAAACAGTTTCATCCACCACCAATGATGACAAAGTTTCACCTTTAGATTCAACTGACAATGTTAACGCTGACTCTGAAGAATCAGATAATGAATCTGATGATGAGAGTGGTGAAGAAAGTGATGCATCTGACATTGATGATGGAACATCTGAGGAAGAATCAGATGATGATGCAGGGAACAGACTTAAAGCTGAACAGCTTCTTGGGATTAGTCATGATAGCGAAAGTGAAACTGACAATGTTGAAACTATGACAAAATCCAAACATAAAAAGGATAAAACCAAAAAAGCAACAGATAAAGACACAAAAGTAAAAGCAGTTAAAAAATCTAAAACTATAGAGGAAAATAAAACAGATTCTAAAAATAAACAACAAAAATCACAAGACAAAATGACAAATAAGGAACACTCAAAAGGTGCTGCATTTGATGTTTCTGATGAGGAAGATGATTTCCTGACTGTGAAACAGAGACATATACCTGGTGCAGATGACAGTGACGTTGCTACAGATGAAGAGGAAGATGTCCTCGAACCTGAAAAGGTGAGAGTCTCAATCTATACAAAATAGGCTAATGATGGTTTTGTCTGTTTCTTGACATATTAAATATCTGTACTTCTTATCAATTATTAATATCATTTTTCAATTTAGGCCTCCTCAAAAAAGGACAAGAAGAAACCTCTGTCCAAGATTGCTATTGCCAAGAAGGCTCTTAAGAAGAAAATCAAGCTTAATACTAAAATCACATTTGATGAAGAAGGAAAGGTAAGAAAAACAATTTACAAGGAAACCTGTTTCTTCAAAATATTGTGAATTTTGCTTTTGCAAATTTCAATCATCTCTTATGATAATGCAATAGTTAAAATGTTGAATATGATTGGAAATCCTGTTTTGCAACCTAAGATATTTTCAAAAGTTCTCTTGATGCTCTGTGAAGAACATGTTTACTGATGTTGCTGCCCAAAGTAGATAGTGTCAGCCTAGATTGTTCTTTTTGTTGGAAGAGTGTTGATATTTAAAGGTCCAAACTCTATTTCAATTTTTATTAAAGGCTGTAGCTGATTATGGCAAGGCAGTAAATGCTCCACTAGATGGCTCTGAAGAAGGTGGCATTGACCTTGAGGTTGCTAAGCAATGGATGAAAGACCAGGATGTGCAGGACAAAGAACATTACAGACAGAAAATAAAGAAAAAACACAAGGTATTTCCCTTTTGATTATTCAGTCAATGGAAGATATGGTTATCCAACTACTCCTTTATGTTTCTCAATGGTTGCTAGCAAAGCACATTTCTGCTATAATATAGCATTATTACTTGTATGGGGTTTATAGATCAAGTAAAAAGATAACTTGTAAATTGGGTTAATTTGGCGCCACTTTAATTTGGCGAATTTCATGAAATAGAAAAAAACGCCAATTTACACTTTTAGAAAGGATTCTCGTGAATTTTCCAGGGAACTTCACCCGGTGTTTTTAAGTCACTTCCAGTTCAGCTTTTAACTAGGAACTTGGAACTAGCATGCCTGTAATAATATTAAAGTCTGTCGATAACAGAGAGAATGTTTGTCAGTGGTAGCACTAAGTGAGACAATAGTAGTACTAAGTCATTTATGCTTTCAGGAAAAAAGAATGAAAGCTAAAGAGGAGCGAAGACGTCTCCAGAAAGAAAAAGATGGCAATACATCTGATAATGACAATGAGAGCCTAGATGAAGAAATGTCTGCACTGATTGATGGACTGCCTGACCCTGATAAACACTACGGCCAGAAAGAGGCTGGAGAAGATGAGAGTGAGGCTGACTCTTCAGAAGATGAACCCGAAGAAGGGTATGTAGACAAAATGAAAATTGCTATTTACAATTAAAAAGTTATCGTTGGATTTTCTCATCCTCCGATCACAGGGCTTCAAAATCCAGAATATATTCTTTCTTTTTACCCCCTACGATAAGCAGTTAGCATTTCCCCGATCATGTATAAGTCATTGCGCATAATTAGATCACGTGATTCAGTTAAATCGGGCGCTTCCAAATTGGTTATAGCAGGGGGGAAGAAGGGGGTACGGATTCTGGACACCTGCCTAGGAGGATGGATTTTCTGTATCTAAAATAATACAACAAACCATTTCAGCCAATAAGATCACACTTTATTTAGTGCATTTAATTTCAAATTATTTCATCTCAACTGCAGTGTAGTGTCATTTCTTCAATTTAACATTAGTTCATGGATGCAGCCATACAGGAGGCACCAACATTTTACAGAACATATCTTTCAGGCATTTTCTCAACCAAAACTGAAAATGTCTAAAGTCAAAAACATACCTCTTTTCCTTTCCTCAAACTCCCTTGTCCATTCATTTTTTCTCACCTAATTTTAACTCCTGGCTATTCCCCTGTATGTGTAGATTTATTTTGCAAAAATCGTTTATTGATTGATCCAACTTTCAGACCAGTACAAAAGAGACGTAAATTGTCCCAGAAAACAAAGAAAAGTCATAAAGACAGTGAGAGTGATAGTGACAATGATGGTGGTGAATCATATGATGAAAGTGCCTCAGATGACAATATGGACACTGAGCTACAAGATGACGAGGCTCTGGCATTGAAGTTACTGGGAATGTAAAATAATTTATAATTCAAGGAATTCAAGGAAATATTTAATAAAATCATTGCATTGCAACAATATATTTTCAAAGGTTTTGTTAAATAAGAGAACATATAAGAAATGTTTTTAATATATTTATTAAAATTATATTACATGATAATAATCTATGTTAAGCCATTTTGTAGTTGTGCATTTAACAGACATACAAACATATATTCAGAGTTCTTACATATTGAAATCTTAGGTTCAATATTGGTTTAAATGTTTTGGTTCCTGTTGTATATTTTAAACCAATATCATTATACACTAGTCACTTTATGATATATAATATATGAATACAACTAAAAAAAGAAATACGCTTACAGGACAAATCTCTCCTTTCAAGTGATATATAACACTTTTCCTTACAACTGATATACCACACCTGTCATGACCATCTTTAAATGCCAATAAGGCGAAATCTTGTATATTGACTAAATAAAATAACTATGATTCTGTGAAAACACCCGAATGTCAGAGCTGTTCAATTGGTATGGGGTTCTGTATGCATGAACCACAGGACCTTAAATATATGGCATTTATGTTGAAGTGCAACATTTCTGCTATTCAATGTCCTGGTATCAGTGTCAGAAGAAAGATGTTTCATTAAAGAAATTCAAAGAGGAAATTGACATGAATTGTTCAGTCATTAGATGGGATGACGTATTCCTCTTATTTTCAAAACTAATCTGATCTCCATAAATAGCGAAGATTAGGGTGATGCCAAATCCAATGAAGATTCCAAGGTTCTGGAACAGGAATATAATGGTCCCTTCTTTCTTGTTCTGGGATGTCATCAATGTCTTGTCCATTTCTGGCACCTAGAATAGAAAGAATTTTGTATTTTCCATATCACTCAGTTTGTATATCTTTGTTGACAATCTGGCCAACATTTTAACAATATTACGATTTTTTGGTAAATATATGTACAGAGTGAGTTAAGTTCCCATGGAAAAGAGAGCTATATGTTGCTTTCCAGTGCAATTGTACTGAGAAAATGAGATGTGTTAATATATCATCTGAATTTATTTACCATATCCACGAGAGCTATATATATGAACATCCCGGATGCCACTGCAAATATCCAACCAGCCGCAGCTGTTTCTTGACCAATGAACATTCCAATGATGAAGCCGACAATATTTCCACATGATTGGAGAAAGTTGAAGAGCATGGCATTACAAGGCTTCATTCCAGCATTCAGTAGGATCGCATAATCTCCTGCAATAGAATGCATTATAAACGAGGCGAATAACATGCAAAATGTCACCACCTACCATTTGTTACAGACGAGGAACGCCGAACACCAACCGCCGAACATCATCCACAAAAATTATAAGCCTATGGTGACAATAGAACAACGACGCCATACCTGGGGAACCATTTCCATTGAGATTTGGGTTAAGGGAATTTGATCATTATAAGACTGCCTGATCATTTTCCCGCAACCTCCCGTTAGATCCAATATCGTTACCAGAATAGTTGAACAATGTCGTTGGTTAGATGAACATTATGAAACTACATCGATGCTTGAGCCGTCGTTTGAAGGCTCCCAAAGCACGAACGTTAAGATTATTGTACTCTTTTAACGTTATAACGATTACTTGGATTCTAAACATACCTAGTTTGTGAGTAAATTCCTCAAGGAAGATCGCCAGCGCCATCCCAAGTCCTCCAAGGACGCTACGAGCAAAGGCTACCCCAACGGCCATACCATCGATCACGTGATGGAACGTCTCCGCAGACGTCAGGACCCATGCTATGAGTGGAGTCTTCTTCTTTGGTACCTCTGGTTCAAGTTCAGCTGTGTGTATCATACCATCCGATGGGTTAATGTGGATTGGCTGACCATTTATGTAACCAGTCTCAACACCATTGACAGAAAAACCGTTCTGGAAAACAAAATGAGTTTGGTGATAATCTTTTTGAAAACGGATTATGGTGGTACCTGCGGGGTATGGTGAAGTAGGAAAACACAACTTTTCAAAAAGGAATTAATCCTCTAAACATCAATCAATCAACTTGACTCTAATATTTTTAAATAAACCTCCGAGAAAAATGTTTAAATAGTTAGATATAAGACAAAGTTAGGAACAACGAGACCGTAGTTCCTTTTTATGTCACAACCACAAGTGGCGTATTATCATAGATATTCTTCAACCTTTTTTTGTGGACGATGTTCGGCGGTTGGTGTTCATTAAGTCGGCGTCTGTAACAAATGGTAGGTAGTGAGATTTTGCATGTTGATATCTTATTTTAGATTAAGTTCACGATAAATTAACTTGCAATTACATTCTCTGAACTTTTCGGATGATAATAAGTATCTGCGACATCTTTGTGGAAATCTTGACCAAGAGGGACTAGGCTCACTTGACTTTGACTTTGTGTTATGTTGGCCTCAGATTGTCGGCGAGAAAAGTCCACCTTCTCATGGACCTCAACGGGATCCACGTCCTCACCGTGCTGCAAAATAGAACATCGTAAATGCGTGCGCGGTGAAATATAGGGTCCCTCGCGTCATAATATAATATTTTTTCTTATATTTAAGTCCCAAAGGCAAAAACAGGCACACTTAAGAGATGTAAGACTATGCAATTAAAGCTGGAGCCGTGAATTTGCCATTCAAAGTCATTTATAGTCAAGAAAAAAATAATCAAAATCTCGTTTCTGGTTATAAAAGTTTCAAGCAAAAAGAAATAATGATGTACCCCTTTTGTGTTTCAATATCAAATTATCAAAATCTTTTCATAACTCACATATATTTGAAAAACATGAGAAACATATGAAAAGTTCCATACTGACGTTCCATACTGACTGAAAATAACCTTAAGACACCAGTCACCAAAATAAGAACAACATGAGTTAGTTTAATTTTTATAGAATATAGATAACATACTTAAGTGTCTTATTGGAACAGTGTCTCAGTCACAATTCAGCAAATATCAAGGGGTGCGAATTCTTGGGTTTGCATTATGAGAGGGAAGCGAGCCCCAAAAGGGGGGTACATGGGGTTCACCCCTGGAATTTTTAAAAATTTACATTGTTGATGATGCATTCTTTCTAAGCATTAAAACTATAATTTTGTTATGTTTTGTTTCAACAAATTTTATAAAATTGCTTTTTCCTTTTTGTTGGGGGTGGGGGGGGGGGGGGTGCCCATCCACATATCATACACCAAACACTTCTCATGGTTCACTTACTAGTGATTTTCCAATGGTCAGTATTTTCACTATTCTCTCCGTGAGGTAAAAGAAATACATGCCCCCTAGAATGGTTGTTGCCTTGGCTATGTGATCAGGGTGGGTGCTGTGCTCAAGATTGAAGGCCTGAAATACATGTATATAATATAATATAATATAATATAAAATATAATATAATATTATATAATATAATAGATAGATATACTATAAGATATAAAATTATATAATATTATATTATTATGTATTATATAATAGACATTTAATGTTCTTAAAATATTTTAATAAGGCAATTATATAATATAATATAATATAAAATAATATAATATTATATAATATAATAGATAGATATACTATAAGATATAAAATTATATAATATTATATTATTATGTATTATATAATAGACATTTAATGTTCTTAAAATATTTTAATAAGGCAATATTTACCTACGAGTCTTGAATGAAATTAAAGCAAACTCAAGCTCATAAAATTGCTTTAAAATTTTACTCCAAAACTATACAACTGACAAGATATCAATTATTCTGGTATCCTCCGTAACCAAACATTGAAATAAAATCCTGTATTAAAATTGATTAGTCAATGTAATCAAATAACATAATCACAAACTTATACGTCGTATTCTTACCTCTGGCAGTAAGGCGAGGCAACCCATCCCAACCAATATGCCCACAGCCAAGCCAATAAGAGTTGTCAATAGGGTGGGGAACCAAGGTCGCTTCATAAACGGAATGAGGAAGAACCCAAACAGAGAGGCAAGGACAATAACAGTGACTGCGATCGCCCCCGCTCCCCATCGCGCTGGAATAATGGAATTTTGTATTAATTTTATATATATATGATGGAAATCATATCTCAGCTCCGTATTTTTGAATGCAAACCTTCGAACAGCCGAAAGTTCTAATGGTACTTTTTGCTGCGAAGAAATTGTTTTGGCGATGATGAAATTGAACAGAAATGAAAAGATTGCAAAAGTGTAACTGCATAAATAAAACTCCTGCCAATTTACGAAAAATTTGAAAAAATATTTACAATGCGCAATTTTCCATTTTAGTGAACATCTTTAACTTTATGAAAGCTTGCTTTATTACGCGAAAGTATCTTTCATTAAAATATATTGTTTAATAAGGACTGAACAAATTATAATTTTTCACAATGATAGGTTAATTATTATATGAAACTGGGATATCTGTTCACATACCCGGCACGATCGTTCGAGAAGTTAAAATTATCTCCCGGCGAAAGTACAAATAAAAAGCAGCAACAAATAAACAAATAGGTCAACTTTTTTCATAAATAATTTTTTAATGTGCCAAACCTCAATATCGTTTTGATATCTTTGTTGTAAACAAGTATTTATCTTGACTGATTGATTGATTTCAAAGAATCTTTTAAACCCTGGAACAATTACTTGCTTATTTTTCAACCATTTTTTCATGAGATCAACAGTTCCAATGTTTACAATGGCAAGACCTAAAAATATATCACACACAAACTAAAAACCGGTAAAAATTTGATGAATTCATTGTTGATCCTTTATTCCTAAAGTGAGTTATGCTAAATATATTTTCCCCAAATTGCCCTTAATGTGAACTTCCGAGATTATTTTTATTTGATTGAGGTTACAAGAAATGGAATCAAAATGTTTTAAGAGATATTTGATAAAATGAAAATAATCTGCAAAAATAAAAAATGAAAGAAAAGTAAAATATGTATCAAATGCGACATTAGTGCGTACAACCAGAAACAACTTACGTCAATGACGCCATACTGCATTCCATATATATTTTGAATATAATACGACAATAATTTTGAAAAAATCAATTTCTACTTTCCAAAAGATTATTCTTGTTTTACTTATGTCAGCCTAATATTGTCAGTTTTAGAATTACTGGATATCAAAATAGCCGTTTATTTAACCTCTTTTTCTTATTACGGCTTTTGGCAGAGAGAAATCCCACGTTATTGGAAGTTAGAGATGCATTTAATTTTTGAATACCATAGACAATAACGCGTGCATTTGTTTCATTAGAATTGACAATTAACAACGATAAACTGATGACTAGAATCTTTTTGCTCGGCATTTTCAAGGTGATACAGTTTTCATAATCATGTTTTACATGTCTTAACAGTCTTTGAAAATTGCTTTTAAAACCTGCATAACAACAAGGACGTCTAAAGTTTCAAACAGACGCACTTAACAAGAGTTCCGCTGCTTCAAAACTAGTGTCCGAATGAATAAATAAAATGAAACAAAACTACGGTTAGGGAAAATATAATTCATTTTAATGGATAACAACTATTTTTCATGATTTAAATGTATTCAAAGTATGAGGGATGTGGATATTTATTATTAACTAGATAATTCGGCACTCATCAGTGTATCAATGGGTTCAATTTTTCAACAACTTCATGACGACATTGTTCAATTACTACACGTGGACGAGGCATAGTACTATGGATTTATTATCTAATGTTAACTAGATGAACCCAGTTTCGTTTTTTACAAATCATTGTTTTATTAAGTCCATATAAATATTATATAACTAGTTACATTTTAGATCAGATCTACTAATTCATGATTTTACAAAAACAATGTGAGCATTTCATTGTTGTGGCATAGAAACATGGTTTATCTGATGGTCAATTCATGATATCTTTCATTGTATTTCAACTAATTAACAATGTGGTGCTTTCCACATCCATCCAAACACGCTTAGTTATTTTAACAATTAATGTGTATCACAGATCCTTGTGATATTGTCGTGCCATTATCATTGTCATTGTTATGCCATTATCATTGTCATTGTTATGCCATTGTCATTGTCATTGTGAGGGCATTATCCTTATTGTGTAATCTTAAATTATCGTTAAAGTATTATAACTTAATCAACTTACCTGCCAAAGAATCAGTCGGTCTTCGAGACATAGTGTAACTCAATGAAATAAGATGGATTATCCTCTGCCCGACTTCAGTGTTGGTGGTTAGACCTCATTGTGTCCAACATTTCAGACATCCAATATTCTTGATCTGGATCTTACCCGAGTTCTAAAGTTCTAAACGCCTAAATATTCATTTAAATTCCAACCTTAGTCATCACGTGACTATCAATTCAGATTTTGACTTCTGTTTCTTGAAGAGAGCTTTGAAGAATAATTGTCAATCATGATTTAAGACTGATTCGACATGCTTAACGACTTATGTTTCTCATCATATGTGATGCATAATATAATATATCTACTCAGGTTAATAATCATATGTGATACATAAGGTATATCTCTCTGTGGAACTATGTACTCAATAATTATTTCAACAGTTTGGGTTAATGGAATAATAATACAAATACAACTACTTATTTTTTCAATGAGTCCGAATTTATTTCAATTGGGTAACAATAATACTTGAAGTAAAAAGAAGGGTTGGTTGTTTATTGATTAATAGCACGTGCTTTGTGGTTTGAACATTTGCCTTCTACGTGATTGCTCTTAGTCTATGGCATATTCTAAAAAGTGGCCTGACACCAGTAAAAAGTGGACTGCCCTCTGTGGACTGGACTCTGCTGATTAGGCCATCTTTTAGAGATTACATTCAGAAAAATAAAAAGATTAAATTTAACCCTCTTCACTCCATTGTGGACCATATTTTAGGTTTTATGTAAGTATTTTGACGAAAAAATGGCCCCAAGCATTACATTTCTAAAATTGAATTGAAGCTATCAATATCATAATCGCAGCAAACATAGTTCGAGAGGGATATTGTGGAACCATTCTGCCAGTCCTTTTTATGGTCACGATTAAAATTAGTTTTTCATTTCAAATTAAAACAAATGTTTATCTGAAAATCTGAAAGGCCTGGCTCCCAAGGGAACAAGCATGAAACATTGAGTAAACGGTATTATGTCTGATAATTTAGTGATCTCTTCAAGTTATAGCTTTCTTATACAATTGTATGCAAAAATAAGACATTTTTGATAGGTTTTGAAAAGACTTGGGTAAGCATGTATGGATTGAATCCAAAGGATGAAATTGGATGTGTTTCATGTAAAATGTTTGAACTTTTATTAATATGTTACGGATCACCAGATGGCAGGTATTGGTTTAATGATCGTTCTTCCATTTTAACTTTTCATTTCATTTCATTTAACTTTTTATTTCTGTCTTATTCAATATTACATAATGTACATGATGTCATAATTATAAAAGCCTTTGTGTACCCTGCGTGCAGAGTCTAGTTAAACTACACTCTGCCTAGTAGAGACCATATTACAGTTTAGTAGCCCTGCCCCCACGACGGGTACTGGTGACAGTTTGGGTAATAAATCACTTTTGACCTACGCGCTGACCTTTCTTCCACTAATCAGCGAGCTTGAAGAAACATACGCCTAATGCGTTCTAATTAAATATGCGCATGTCATTGGTCAATTCCGGGCTCAACGATGACGTCAGAAGGAATGACCATATATAGAACGTCGGTCAAATTTGGCCGACGAACACTGATTGGCGCGGTGAGTTCACAGGTTTATTTTAGTTTGAAAGAGTGAGGACGAAGCTCTCTTTTAAGAAGTGAAGTCAAACGAATGCAAAGGGTAGCCTTGATGAGACTTGCTTGAAAAAGATTTGCGTAATAAATCTAAATGTTGCAAAATTAAATCATTTTGTTATAAACATATTTAAATAAAAATGTTTGTAATAACCATCCCAGATATAGTCTAAATACCGATTAAAATGTTTGTCACTTCCGTTCTGTGGTGTAAAGGTTAGCACAATGGACTCCCGATGCCAAGGTCCTGGGTTCAATCGCCAGGATAAGGATAGCAGGTCCTTTCAGATTAATACAGAGAGCTGTTTCTACCTTAGGATATCAAGTTACATTATCCTACCACAAGTATATGTCCTATGGTGTCTGTGTGAGATATGTAACTCAAATTAAAATGAAAGTGTGGTTTTCTTTACTTTAATTTGAAAAAATAGTAAAAAAAGAACTGGTCGATGTCTAGGAGCAGTCAATAACAGTCAGTCAATTTCTATTTACAAATTTTAATCATTATATGCATAATTAAAGAACTTTTGTCTAAGAATCTATAAAAGTCTGGGAGCTTCAGGCACTCCCAGATTTCAAGTTGACATGAAAGAATAACTAAAAGCAAGACATGGGTAATTTTAATTTAAAAACAACTATTGACACCACCCCAGTCCATTGAGATGAATTTAGCAAGGCTCTTGGGTGGACTAGATCACTCAGTATCCGTGATCCTTTTACAGGCTGGGTATCTTTAAATACCAACTGTTCTAGATGCCCCCAGGTATAAAAATCAACATTATTGGCATCTGGACTGCCAGTAAGCCATTTGTCCGGGCTAGAGATGGTGTCATTTCGAATCTCCAAAAACTCCAGGCTAGCATTGGACCTGTGTGATGAAGCACTTTCCTATCAGAAAATGAATGTTTTTTATATCCTTGAGGAGTCCTTTTTAACACCTCATGTCATTAACATTCAGAGTATATTTTTGCTCCTGGTTCAACAAAAACAGGGCCTGTACGGTCTTTCCTTTTTGGGAAACACCGAGTGGACACCACTACCTTTTCAGAGAAATGCCATCTCGATTTGAGTAGCCTTTTATCGCAAATGTCCCTATTCTTGCTTATTGATATATAGAGTCTATCCTGTTAATTACATGTATAATACTTGGGGCATTAAGAGCAGTTAGTCTATGAAGATCACTAGCCTATCAGGGATGTAGACAAACTGAAGGAATGAATAATTAGGAGTTTGATGGTACTTCCGCAAGGATCCATCAATTATACCCATGGCTTTCGCGTCTTAAGCGAATAATCCGATCTGAAAATGAGTCCGGGGGTGGGTCTATTGAGCCATATTTGGACAGACTGAAGAAGAAATGAATTTGTTTTATAAGCATACACATGTTTATTGAGCATGCATGGTTCAAAACCTGAATGAAAACAATATATAATATCCAATTATGAAAGACTCATGACAATGTTGCAATTTTCAACTGAACAGTAAAATTTGGTAGAAATAGGCTATTGTTCGCAAAATCGATGAACATTGAGAAGGTGTTTTTTGACCCCATGTCACATAAATGGTTATATCTCGAGGCAGTGTAGTTGACAATTGTTCTATTATATATCATTTTGTTGCAAATTGAATTGTCTTTAAAATGAAATATCGTTGTTGGTGTACATGTTAAAAAATGAACATTTATCAGAAATATCGGCTAGGGGGTTGTTTTTTGGCCCACCCTGTACTTAACCCTTCATACTCCAGTTTGAAGCCACGTTTCGAGTTATCCTTCTGTCAAAATACGTAAACAGTGGCCTTTATATGGGGCCACTTTTTAGTCAGGCATTTCAAACACATAATGGCTAAGTGGTGGCTCAAGCCACTAAACCGACGACCTCAGTACACCTTTTAGAGCATGCCATCGTTCACCGGTGGACATTCTGTGAACAGGTGTATCTAGAATAGTGACTGGTATAAAAAAGGTCTTGCCTCTCTTTTTGCCCGATCAGTTTTTCAATTCAAAATAATTTCTTTTGAAATCACGGAACTTTTTTATTTTTGTAAAATATGGAGGATAAATACATTTTCTCATTATAATTTTAGTCATTGCTTTTAAGTGCAACATAAACAAATTAAGCTTGTATCGAATATTATCACAAACGAGATATTCATTGCGAACCTAGTTGGCTAATACAATGTTTAAATTGGTGTTCATTGAGTGTTGATTTTTAGGCTGGGTTTTGTTAATGCATTATTTACTCGAGAAGAAATATCGAAATGTATCAAAGTCCGTGATGAAAAAGATAAAAGCAGCAGACTAGGTAATAATATTATGAATGCATAAATGAGATGTTCGAGTGAGATTCTTTTGGATGAATGGCGAACTTACCCAATATGGCTTTGACATCTAGCAATATACAAGAAAGTATGAGTATTGGGTTTTATGATACATAATAGCGGAGGGTCGAGATCCCACACACTCTTATGAAAGCTAAATGGTCCATGTTCCAATCTGGAAAAATTGATTTCTTTGAATAACAAGCTATTGAGAATTGAAAAACAAAAATGTTTATTGTATACTAAAACAGTTGTTTAAAAATCGAACATTTACGTTTTATAGCATCTTCAATTTAATGAAGAATTGGGGCAAAAGAATAATTGGATATTCTTATTGGACTATAGAAGTATTGTTCCTATTTTTAATTTCGAATAGGAATCCGGAGTGAGTAATCTATTCGCCCTAATCCCAGCCATGTGTAATTGTGCAAAAATGTGTTATTTGAACATATTTTTCAAGCAGACCTACTTTTGTGATAACGACGTTTTTCCCTTTCTAACTATTTTTGACTGACCTTCCCCTTTTTGCACTCATGTTTATATGTCTTTACAAAAACTGATAAGCACAAGTGCAGGGGTTATACGGTGCCCTGAGTGTTCCTCATCGTGGTTTATTTTGGTTAAGTTTTACTCAACTCAAGGGTTGGAACTATGTTTTATGGATGGGTGTGAGTTCGGGTTCATAGAGTAAATATTTTATCCAATACATGTGTAAAGTAGGCAAAATTGCTAAACGGAAAGACCAAAGAGCAAAACAAAAAGGGACTAACAAAAACAAGCATTTAAGAGGGCAAACTGACACGTTGTTACAGTTTTGATGTTACATATTATTGATAATATATCATTATGATATCTTCCAGATTAAAATGATCAATGATCAAAACAACTATATATAGATAATATGTAGTTATTTTCACATTTTTAAGCGTTGTTTACTTAACCCTAGCTTGATTGGGCCTTTGAAAAGAAAGGATCAAACGGATAAACGATTCTTGTTTACTTTTTATCTACGATTCAACGTGACTTTTACTTACCCATTGCCCTTAAATTCTGGCTTGACCTTCTTGATCCTTGGTCTTCGTGATCTGACTTTGAGTTGATGAGATTTGAATTGATACAAATTAAAATAAATACAAGACCCTTTAGTTTGGTTTATTTTATTCATTTTATATTATTTTATATAAATATTAATGTAAAATCATTTTCTGCATAAGAATATTATATGAGTTCACGAAATATGAAATAAATATACTTCATATGGTTATGCGAGGCAGGGGCGAGATAGCCAAACGTTCTATCATTAACCACCAATTGGAGCCAGAAGATTTCCACTCAACTCAAATAAAATCTTGTGTTTTTAACCAATCAAATTTGAGTAGATACCAGACACATAAGTTTGACCAACCTTGGCCAAACTTCAAAATTTACACCAGAATTACATTTTTGTGAAAAGGAAAGGTCCTTTTCACTCATATTTCATTTGAAATACTATGATGATGTTGAAAGTTGACATTTCATAACCGCGTGACTATGGTGAGGTTAGGTGAGATAGCACTTTTAATAGATTCGTAATTTGGGTAAATCTTTATGCAATTTGTAGTAAGTGTGGCTCTCTAATCATAGTCCAAGGTATAGGTCTCTTAGAAATGTGTTTTAAGACAGCGCCATTCTTTTTATTTTGGAAAGGTTTAAAAACGTACTCACATGGGTCAAACATAATGGTCGCCCTTGTTAGATCAAGACTTTAAACTAAGATAAGTCACATGCATAATAAATACAAAAAATATCCTTTTAATCAGCGAGTCTATGATATGACATCACTTTTCAAATCTTTTTAGAATACAATGATAAGATAGATATCACAATCACATATAGTCAATGGCGAGCACATTTAGCTGTCATCAAGCTAAAGAACTCGGGTATAAACAGCCTTGTCTTTCTATACCATTAATGATTACTACATTTTTAAGCCAAGGAAACAAGAACTGTTAACTGATCATGACTTTTCTCTATTCTGTTTTGAAATGTTATGGCTAAAGGATTTAAGCATAGGAGTCAATAATTTGTGGGTTATTTATTGCACGAGAACCATTGAAGCTAGCCTTAATTCATTTACGCACATAGCGAAAGAGTGTTAAGATAGAATTTAAAAAATGTCAAGTAGGTCACGTGGCATGCCTAGATATTCTAGGCACAATGGACATGATTGACTATGTGTGGAAATGTATATTTCAAGCACTCATGAAAAACCATGTAGAACTAATCATCATCTAAGCACTATTTTCGTTTAAACTAATATCTACAGGAAAGTATGTTATTGACGTTGTTAAATAGATATGGCAGAATGGTTTTCCCAATCAATGTCTGTATCACCTCCCGAATCAGTGACGTCAGTAAGATCTGTGGCTGTTTCAGGTCGCATAGTGACCTCATCTAAGCCAGAGAGTGAAGCAAGAGAGCTTCTCCTAACCATTTCTAGTTCTGGCTCTGATGTACTAGAATCACTGTCAAGATTATATTGTTTGCGTCTCAAGTCATCCAAAGCATCTTCACTAGCAGCTCTGCGCATTCTATTTTGTTCGCGTAATGTCGATCTTCGTCTATTGCGTGGTCCTTGAGAAGATCGTGTACTTTGTTTTCGAAGTTTTGGTCCAGCTGCTATGGGATCATCGTATATAGCTTCCTTGGTTATAATTGGTGGTTTCACACCGCTGCCACTTGCTTGAATGCTCTTCTCATTTTTCATAGGTTTAGCATAAAGAGCAGCAATGTCTTCATCATTAGAGCGAGACTGAATAATAATTTCGTCATAACTGCTAGTTGATAGATCTGTTTGGAATGATTTGTCTGAAGCAGGAGGGTGTTGTGAGATTTTATTTGCTTCCAAATCAACAAAATCTTGATGTCCTATTCCTCTGTTATATGAATCTGCCCCAGCTGAGCCAGTGACCTCTATATTTTTCCTGATGCTTGTCTGCGTTTTTTCAGTCTTTGTCTTTTTGCTGTAATGAGAAAGCATATAATCCTAGTTGACATTCTCAGACGATTCCTATAAATTATACATACTAGTATCAAACTCAGTTTTATTAAATCATTTAACGCCATGCATGGTCGTTATTTCAAAATGAAAATGTTCATTGTTTTGCTAGATATGGAATAACTGTAGAAAATATTCTATGAAATAATGTATCTATGTATTTATAGGTATTGTATATTCAATTACATAGATTTTATACATTCCGTTATTTTTATTATTCTCAACATACCGTCTGCAGTACACAGCAAGAATGATCACCACAAGCAGCAATATTCCAATGCCGATACACACACATAGAATTATTAACCCTGTAAAGAAATTGGTGAGATAAAATTTAAATTTGATGATTTTGGTTTGTACAAATAGCTATAGGTTACTATATCGGATTTAATTTGCAAAACTGACGTCACGCGGTTACACATTTCTGCTTATGTCAAAAACTCAGAAACGGTCACATTGGAGAACGAAAAGGTAGAAATACACATGTCATTTGACTTACCAAGTGTCATTCCACCACTCTCTTCATCCGTAGCTGCTCCAACCCTCTCTAAAACACAATAATAGTGCTTTGCATGTAGTCTTTAATTGGTAATAAGGGAATACTTGAAATGGTTCATCAAAAATAAAGATTTAAAGGCTATGTTGCCTAATATTACTTACCTGTTGTCAAGTCAGAGGGAGAGTCCGTCACACTTCCTTCGTTCTCTCCAGAACTTCCGTTCCCGATTGCTCCTCTTGTATTCCCTCCTCCTGTGTTGCCATTCCCCATATTGTCCCCTCCCGTATTGCTCCCTTCATTGTTGTCCCCTCCTGTATTTCCCCCTCTCGTGTTACCTTCTGTGGTCCCTTCTCCTGTGTTTCCCCCTCCTATATTACCCCCTCCAGCATTGCCATCTCCAGTATTGCCCCCTCCAACACTGCTATCTCCCGTATTGTCCCCTCCAGTATTGCCATCTCCCGTATTAACCCCGCCTGTGTTGTCTCCTCCAGTATTGCTACCTCCGGTGTTGGTCCCACCTAGGTTGTCCCCTCCAGTATTGTCATCTCCTATGTTGCCCCCTCCCGTGTTGCCATCTCCAGTGTTGCTCCCGCCTGTGTTATCCCCTTCAGTATTGCCATCTTCCGTATTGCCCCCTCCCGTGTTGCCATCTCCAGTGCTGCTCCCGCCTGTATTCCCCTCTCCCGTACTGCCTCCGCTCGTATTACCCCATCCAATATTACCATCTCCTGCGTTGCCCCCTCCCGCGTTGTTCCCTCCCGTGTTGTCTCCTCCCATGTTAGAGTCTCCCGTGTTGCTTCCTCCTGTATTGCCCCCTCCCATGTTGCTGTCTCCTGTATTACCTCCTTCCGTGTTGCCATCTCCTATATTGCCCCCTCCCGTATTGTCCCCTCCAGCATTGCTATCTCCCGCGTTGCCCCCTCCAGTATTGTCATCCCCCGTGTTGCCCTCTCCTGTGTTGCCATCTCCCGTATTACCCCCTCCCGCGTTGCCATCTCCCATATTGCCTCCTCCCGTATTGTCCCCTCCAATGTTACCCCCTCCTGCGTTGCTCCCTCCCGTGTTGCCATCTCCAGTGTTGTCCCCTCCATTATTGCCTTCTCCCGTGTTGCCATTTCCCGTGCCCCCTCCCATGTTACCATCTCCCGTATTATCCCCTCCCGTGTTGCCATCTCCAGTGTTGCCCCCTCCCGTGTTGCCATCTCCCGTACTACCCCCTCCCGTGTTGCCATCTCCCATATTGCCCCCTCCTGTGTTGCCATCTCCAGTGTTGTCCCCTCCCGTATTGCCTTCTCCTGTGTTGCCATTCCCAGTGCCCCCTCCCATGTTGCCTTCTCCCGTACTTCCACCTCCCATTGTGTCTCCATTCTGATTACCACCTCTCGTAGTTTCCCCTCCTCCGTTAGGGTTACCCCCTCCACTGACTGTTGATGAGGTGGAAGAGGCCAAATCACCGCCTGGTGGAAATAATGTTGGTAACAAAGTAGATACAGGGTTTGAACCATTTGGTATAACGGGCATCGTTGTTGTCCTACGTCCCACCGTACTGGTTGTTGATTGCGTTGTCGTAGAGGGAGGAGTGGTGGTCCTGGGGGTTGTTGTGGTGGTTGGGACGGTTGTAGTGGTTGTACTGGTTGTGGTGGTAATCTTCTCTGGATCACCACATTGTAGGGTCACCTCTGATTCGCCATCAGCAGCTGGAAGCACATCGGACGTTTTTGACAAATAACAACTATACAATTTGGTGAAAGTGCTACCCGATAATTGATATTTTCAAAAACAGTTGTTCTACTAAATCATGCGTCGTGTGTGTTTATACCAACGCCATTGGATGTGTGCTGTTTTAAAGTCATCACAACTGGTTAAGTGGTTATCATAATCATGCACTGTATACTGAAAATATTGCTTATTCTCAAGAACAGCTTAAATGATAATTTGTTGTCAAATAACAATGTTTTTGTGGTGATACAAACCCGGATTAAGCACATACAGAGCAAGTGTGAAATATCAACAACCCCTTTTGAGAGCTGGTGGGAAACATATTTTATTAAGCAGTTAGAAATTATCGACGGACTTGATGCATAATTTGTTATGTTGTCGGAGGTTCCATAGCATCGCCATTTAGCTCTTTTTTAAGAAATAATAAGTAATATTTTCAATATGAATCGCATGGTCATGGTAAACAGTGTGTTGACATGATAGCACACATATATTGTCGTTGATATCAATACACATGATGCAGGATGTTGTAGAATAGCAGAATTCATGGATTTTAAAAAACATCAACTATCGTAAAGGAGCACGTAGGTTATCGCAAACAATTTCAAACGATTCTAACTTGAAATATGAATATTTTCTGATCATGAACATGGGTGTATCTTTTAGATCTATTCATTATCTTCAAGAAAAAAATATATAATGATAATTTAGTTAATCAGACCTAAGTGATATTGAAGGGGCAATGGACCAATCAACATACTTTGTCAAAAATGTTTACCTAATTTTCACCAAAAATGCAACCTTTTATTATATTGTTGAATGCATAATTAGAATGTGCTTTGAGACATGTTCGATTTCCTAAAAGGAAAAGTTGATTGCTCCAGGGACTTTAATGTTACTGAATTTGGATGACCAAAATGAGCTGAAACCAATGGATGGCATGATACTTTTCAATGGAGAAATAACATGGGGAACACTTATCTTAAAGCAATTAAGTTTTTCTTTCAAGAACTATTTGATACATCAAAATAAAGAATAGTAATGCATTAAACAATGTAAAAAATGATTGCATTTTTGGTGAAAATGGGGTCAACATCTTTGAAAAATTGTGTTGATGGGTTGATTGCTAGTTAAATATCTCCGAGTTTGTTTGACTTGATTATTACTGTACATAATTTTCTTTGAAATTATGAATTAACCTAAAAGATAAACCTGTCTTCATTGTCAGAAAATAGTCATAATCCAAGATATAACCTACGTGCTCCTTTGCCCTGAATAGTTTTGTTGTGTCTAGATAAATCAATTTGTGGAAATACATTAAGGAAAACACAAATTAAAAATGCGAAATGTATTTGTACAAGGTGGAAATCTGATTGATAGGCAGAGTAATAAAATGAGTAATCTGGTTTATTATGGTAGGCAGATTAGTGAACTTCTAAAACATGGTATAGGCAGAGTAAAACGAGATCCGAATCGTTGAGGTCTACAACTTGTCTATTTAGCCAAAACTCAAGAAATTTAAAATTTTCTATGAATTTTAAAAGAAGCACTGAGATAACATACATCTGAAGTTAATCCAGAAACCCTGGTGGCTGTCAATCTCATCCGTATGGAAATTTAACAAGAATGCCGAATCTGTAAAGGTCTCGTGAGAAAACCCACATAGTTTATTGTCTCCTATTTGGAGATAATCTGAACATGGGCTTCTATAGTGTATAGCTAAGTACAGGATTTCGACACGGATGAGGACACCCGGTGGCGCAGTTAGTGCGCATGTGCAGTCTAGATTTGGCGGGTAATTTCCCCGGAAGTTAGGTGATGATACGTATCCACTGGTTCCAACATAAATAGTGTCTGTACATATATCTCTTGAAAAGGCATCTGAAAATAAATACGTATATTTAATAAACATGATCCTGTCCTCATTTTCGGAATGGACCAAAATCATAGTAAATCTACATTTGGCCTGTACCCTGCGCGCAGAACACATACGAGGGTATATCATAAAGTTCTCATAATATCTCCATTCTATACTACACATTCTGTGAAAAATTCATCGGAATATATTGAAAAATAAAAAATTAGAGATACATTATGAGAACCTTATGATATACCCTCATATATCAGCGAATTCTTGGGATTACTACAAGTTTATAATGTATGTGTGACTGATTCGTAATTTATAAAATTACATATCTATTAAAATGGATAATGAAAGCCAATCAATCTATATAATTGCAATTTAAGTAAAAACAAATCAAATAACCACCCTTAGAAAAGATAACATTCAACAACATTGCAAAGCGTGGCCGGTATAATCAAATCAAATAATATTTATAGAGTATTTAATATCGATAGCAAATTGCAAATGTACTCTTCAAACGTTGGGATCAAATAAGGGGTTTTGAGTGGTTTATGCCAAGGTGCGATTCCATCCAAAATAAATCCGACATTTGACATCATGAGATATCTTCAATCGGTGACAGTGACCGCATTAACTCTGACCGGGACTGTGTCCTCCTTAACCTATAGAAAAGGACAGCGTCACCATCATATCACCCCGTGGCCACGCGCAAAGATTACTGATAAGATTATCTACTTTTGAACTTTCAGTTCCCGTTTCTATGATCATCAGAGAAACTGGTTAAGTGACTGACCATGACCCATTGCTATTGACTAGTTAAGATACGACATGAATGGTCTTGGCTTACCAATGTGGGGTGTCAATAATGTCCCTACTTTCCGGAAAACTCAGAAACAAGATATTGACCAGGTAAAATGTCATATATGACGTACGTATATATTAAGCAGCACTTTTCATTCTATAAACACCCCATCCAATGAAAAGTCAATGTTCATATTTCAAACATGCCTCGGGAGGGTTGGTGAGAATATTTCCAACAGTTAATTGCGAATAAAGCTGTAGCATAAAAAGTATCTAGAGTGTCAAATGATCCGTAGCATACCATCATTGGAAAAACTGTTGAAAAATGACCTAAAAAAGTCCGTTTCCGGATGGGATCACATCTATCAATATTATACAGGGAATTTTAAGTTTCGCCAAGAATTGTGTAGATCTTTTAAATTAACATTGAATGGGACTCTTTTCCCTAAACGCGATCATGTTTAAATGTCCTTTATGAGAGGACCATAGAAATATATTTGTTCATATATACAGTACTTACTAAATTCTCTTTTGGAAGATCAACGCCATATATATTATAGTTAACCCAGTTGTTATCCCAAAAAATGAAATTGTAAATTTCGTAATGTTTAAAAATTATTGAACGTCACAAATCAAAGATTCACAATGATTTAAACGTGATTAAAATCAAGTAAAGTCAGAAAACAAATCCAGAACCACCCCCTAATTTATGATGTTTTGCAACAGTTTAAAATACTTTGATTAGCACTGTCGTTAAAATGTTAAACACGGGACTAACTCCATCATGAGCTCACAATAGTATATTCAAAATATAGTCTAGTGAGTTAATTACTTTATTGTACAAATATTTATGATGTCAACATTTCAAAACCTGAAGTGACCTCATTTAAAAATTACATTGTCTATAAACTTGAGGCCAATTTGTGGTCTGAAGGTATCCTCAACAATGAATGACATCAGTTAAAAGTTCAGAGACACCATTCCTTAGTTGAGGCATTGAGTCCATACAGAGTAACTATCCGGTTCAATATTTACATATTTAGATCTGATTATTGAATTGAGTACGGAACGACAGTGAATTAAATTTTATTCAACATTTTATAATTATATTAGAACGTGTGTACGTTATCATACAGTTTTCAGAATTTGGAGCACTTTTCAAGCCAGAATTATAAATTTGAACCCCCTGGGCCCTGGAATTTTCAACGACGTTTGTCTTACACCTCCGTGACAAAAATTGGCTACTGCCCTGCGTTTTGAGTAAGACAACTATATGCTCAAGAAAATGTTGGTGAGACCGGTAAAATAAATATATCTCACTTGGTATACATTGATATTCAACTTCTTGGAAGCTCGAGAAACTGCCAGCACACGACCTCTGCTCCACTTGGACAAACGAGCAGACCCTCTCCCCGGCACAGTAGCGCTGGATCAAACTGTTCGCCTTAGGGTTCGTCACCGTACAGTCTCCCTTCGCGTACGAACAATCACCACTCGAGCTTTTCCCGAAAAAATCTCGGATGAGGCGGATCCTGTTTCCAGCACCACAGTCAAAGTTGAAAATGTCCCCGTAGCATTCTGATACAACGAATTGTGGAAGACCATCTTCCATCCCTTTACCTGAAATGAAACAGTTTGAACGTGTAATTAGTCATTTTGGATGCAAACAACCAGTAAAGGTACATTCTGATACTCATCACATCTTTCTGGCTTCAACTAGAAAGAAGCAAATAGAAGGCCATGATTTCTCATGATGGTAAAGGTATCATTAGTGCATCTGAAGACACTAGAGTTGATTTAATCATTGGTTAGAGCAAATTTGTCTTAATATAGCCCTCATCTTAGAGAAGATTTGTTTTTTTTTCTGGAAATAATGAGCCAATTAAAATAGGTCCATTTAAGTAATTTCAAAAAATGTTTGTTCTAATTTCGCCAAAATACACTTGGTTTTCTGCTTGAATATTGGATTTTTGGCGGAGACACATTGAGAGGCGAATTCGCGTCTGCAGCTTCTCAAACAATTCATTATATTTTCTATGTCAGACTTCTACCACGAGTCTCAGTACTACGTCACTTGTAGCGCTAGAGAAATATCACTGGTCAGTATCAAAGCGAAGGTAACGGCCGTAACCTTCGCATCTAAGATGGCGGACAATACAGTAAGTGTCGATTTCGATATTTTAATTAAATTACTTTGTAGTTGACGTAATGGTTTGATGTTTAAACTATATGAGGCGTATATGACATCGAAACTCTGGAGCATGCTCATTTGTTCATATACGATGCGTATGCACCACAGTTCAACGATATCCTCCACCGCTCAAGTAAAGGGAAGGAAACTGGGATTTTTATTTTACAGATAATGATATGCGGTGATGCAGTAATGTTAAGTTTTATTGAAAATATGTTCTTATAGGGATTTTGTATCTTTTAGGTGATTTTATAGAAAAATATTTTGCAATGTGTGAAAAGAATTTAAGCCCAAGTCTCCATGCACTGTAGCTGCTTCATTCCACTCAGGTGTGCATGGTATGCTTCAGCAAACAATGCACGAGTACAAGGATTTTAAAATCCTTCACTAAGATGTCCAGTTACCTTGTATTGAAAACTAACATGGCCGTTGCCGTATCATACATTTCAAGTTACCTTCCCTTTAGCGGTGCAAGATAACGTTGAACTGTGGCGCCAGGTCAACTATAAAGTAGTTTAATTCGATGAAAACTAAAAATGTCAAAATCGACAATTACATGTACTGTCCGCCATCTTTGAAGCGAAGGTTACGGTCGTTACCTTCGCTTGATACTGACCAGTGAATATGGATGCTTGTGAGTAAAGGGTCCACGCATGTCGCATATGATCAGCACGATTTGACCAAAACGATATAACTCAAGACATAAAATGTTGATTGAAGCAAGGACGTCCTTCTTTGAAATAATCATCTGAAAATTAAGTATAGTTTATCAAATATAGAAGGTATTGCATATTACAGATTTAATAAGACGTCTACTTTTTAATATCATGCCAAATATTCTTGAATTATCCTAGTATAAAGGCGGAACCCTTTAGGGAAATAGACACGACAAGAACTGCTACCAGCAAGATCATGGTCCACATCCCGCTCCGTATGATATGGTCCGTTCGTGTGCACAAGATCCGACCATACCGCCTCTATAGGGAGGAAATTCGGAGGTGAGTTTTATTATTAGAGTATTCTTTGAGTTTACATTTATACTGCGCGATTTAAATTGATAAATATGTGAATATTAAATTGAAAAAAGTTGTCTGAGTATTTGAATGCTCAAAAACATTGGATTTATTTGTGGTGACGACATACATGCGGAGAGAGTGATCATGAGTTTCTGCTTCCTTATCGTCATTTACGTGTCAAATATACTACATTGTGGTATATTATGTAAATCAAATGAAGCCTTTGTATATATTGATCGATGAAATAACGCCAATTGAATGTTTCTTGGTATATACTGATTTTAGAATGGTCAAAAGCAAATTAGAAGAGGATCCGACCGTGTTTCATTTCCGACCCTACCGTGTTTTGAGCTCCATATTGTCGTGTTTTGAACCAATAAATACCATGAACATATTTTAAAGTTACCATACTAAATCCATGGAAGTTAATATATCTATTAAACTAGAGTCGGTGTATTAAAGCTCAATAGCTAATTATGGTTGTTTATCTTTTCTAGATGTCGTTAAAAGTGCCGATACAGAATGAAACGGATGTAATAATAAGTGTACTTATTTAGACGAAAATAAAAATGAACTACCATCGACATCCACACCCCAAAAGCCAACTTATTCTCATGAATTATCCAGTCGTCCAAGCAGACCGGTTCATGTTGAAACGGATGGCATATACAAAAATAAATTATATGATACAATGATCGTATATATGCATGCCAATTTGAATATATTTTTTTGTATACGTAAAACACGAATTGGTCGAATTTTTACATTATACATTTTTTTTAAATTATATTGCAGTAAAAAAGTTACACAGGTCGCTGCCTAGCGCAATGTGCATTACAGGCTAGCGTTTTGGAATGAACATAAATCAAACTAATTGAGTGAGTTATACATACAATTGTGCTAACTTAATGGTGAAAAGTATGTCAGAATAAAATGGGTTAGGCCAAGCTAGGAATAAAATCAACGAGCCTTCCTTTTAATCGAGAATCCTGTTCAATTGAAAATGAGTTTTTGAAAATTAAAAATTCAGTTTTGTCTTGTTCAATTAGATGGGTCTCAAGATTTTGCTACTCAAGGGTTTCTTAAAGGTTTTTTCTTTGGGTTGAATGGCGCTTACATTGCAGAATTGAGTGTTTAGGAGTTGTACTCTTACCACAGACAATTAGATTAGCTGTGTTAGGGAAATCATGAGCAATCTTTTGTGATTCAAATTAGAGTCCGCATCTAATTCTGTTCCAGGTAATTTCTTGTTTTCGAGAAAGATTGAGTTTAGAAGTTGTATAGAAGTCATTAAACTTTCAAGATTTGTTTTTGATTTTACTTTTGAACAAAGAGATGGTGGGAATAGACTGGAGATAACCTATTCCATTCAGAGATCAATCTTAGCACTGGGGCATTAATTAGTCGTGCAAAGAACACGAAAAGATGGAACTATTAACAGGACATGGTCGTAGTCCCCAAATTATCCTCACACGACTTGGTCGAACCCTAGCTGAGGTAGGGTCGGATCCTTCTATTCGAGTTTTAAACCACATTTTCATGTACTTTTGTGATGTATTACGTCATGTTTGTTTATCAGTCGCACGCATTAATGCATGTACTTTATAAATTGCACGAAATTAGATATGTATACGGTAATATAAAAGAATTATTGCAATTGAAGTGTATTCTGTCGTGAAAAGTCTATGTTCGAGCTATTTTCACCTATGAAGCCTTGATATTTTTTTTCTTGCTTTCTTCATGAATTCATAGGTAATTATGTTGCCTATAGTTAACCATTCACAAAATATCAAAATTCGCTCTGTTTCCTACTTTTTCCTGACATTTTGTCAATTTTGGCCTCTTCGTCTCACGAAGGGATCGTATTCTAGCACACGAACGGACCATATCATACGGAGCGGGATGTGGACCGTGAAGATATACGTTGTATAAATTGTGACAAAAATATAGCAAATTGCCAATAACTCAGCTGCGAGTAAGTAGTTACCACTTTCACCACCAGGTGGCTAATTCGGGTCGGATAACATGGCAGAGAGTTCCCTTAAACTTATAAATTCATCAGTTTGTGTAGATTTTAAATATGATATAAGTTTGACTGAATTTTGAATATTTAATGATGTAAATCAAGATTATTTCTACTCGCACCTAGTCTACTCTAAAAAGTACCATCAGTTCGTCTCAGTATCGTTTGGTGCACCGATATCTAAATCAGATTAGTACAGAGTTCATACTTTTGTCAATCTATTTATATCTAAATGAGATTCGGCAAACGTGATATTTGCTTACAATAATTATGCCGTTTCGTACTTTATAAAATGTAAATAAAATCATCATTATCTCATTATCATCATTATTATCTAATCATCTCCGGTACAGGGTCAAGTCTAATATTTGGCACCAATCCATTTCCACATTAGGATTATAAATTAAAACGCAGGAATAAACAAACCATCAAAAAAGATTTATCAATATAACACTGTGGCTAGTCGATCAATGTGAATGCAGTCATGTATATGCAATGTTTCGTGGGTTCTCGCGTACATTATAGTGAATGGGGTCGTTGAAAAAATATGACAGAAAATCGAGGTCAGTGATCTCAGAGTTTCTACTTAACATATTGACTTGAAATCTTGCATACATATTCAATATACATAGTATGACAATGTGTGAAAGTTTCAGCTAGCATATTCCTGTTATAGGGAAGATATTTGAACAACATTTCGTAAACGTCAACATATATGTATCAAATGGATTCAACTATGTATCATTTGGATTCAGAACGGTAACAAATGGATGCTATAATAAATTATGCTTTTATCATGATCATGATCATGATGATTTATTTACAGATGGACAACTGGCCAGATTTTCTTTGTATCCATTGTTCGGATAAACATTCCTTATTCAGTGAAGTAATTAGCCACACCATTACAATACACCCTCATGAAGAATTGAAAATTGATAGACTTTATATAGACCCGTCAACTGGAAAATGCCATTACAGAAGGAAAAACTATGGTTCCATCCCTAATACTGTTAATTTGAAAAACGGGTCCATAACATGTAATGATGACAATGAAGATGTTGAAATTAGGTACGCCAATCAAGTGAATTCAGAGCCCAAGAACCATCAACCCACTGAAATACCCACAGATCAAGTTTCAGAGCCATTAACATCCATTGAAAGTGACAATGAGCAGCCTACAGATGGACCATCTGTAAATTTTGGTGATTTTGTCAGCTCAGCTGAAAGAGCCTGCAGATTCCTTGAAACAAATGACCCAAATTCAAGAATTATACCATCTATTTACAATTTTTTGGAAATCGTGGTAAGTGGAATCTTTCCAATTACCAATATAGGATTATTATTGTTTTTGGACACTGTGGACTATTTCACCGCTCCATGTGCCAAA